TGGTTGGATTGTTTAGGTTATTTTGCAAAAAGGGAACGTTAAAAACGTATAATACAATAATAAATAATAACCATAGAGCAATTATTATTATTATTATTATTATTATTATTATTATTATATTACTATTATTCAACATTATTTTTTTCGGTATCCGTCGGGTTTTGATATGACATTGGGTTAGGATAATAACCAAGACTCAGGTCAATTTATGTTTCGTCGTAATTTAGGAATTTTGGGAGAACCCTGCATGTGTTTAAGATGATAGATTTTTGGATATTTTTGAACGTATATTTTGGTATTTGCATACGTTCCATATTTTGATAGATGGTATTTGGGGTAACCCGCATGCAAGAAATGACCATTAGAACAATATGAACTTTTTGGAGGGGCCATACCCACATTATTCTGCTGCCAATTATGTGTACTTAGTAAAATTAAAAAACTGTAATAAATTTTTTCAATAACATTTAATATACATCAAATTTTGATTTAATTAGACTAAAGGTATTCAGTGTTCAGCTACAGTGCACTGAACACACTTTACAGCTCTTTATGAATGTGTATTGCAAACATACTAATTTCACTTCAAAAAATACAATTCGGCTTCCTTAGATGGTTGTACAAGTTTTGTTGTTTTATTTTTATTTTTTTATTCGGAGGTGCATACTCCTAAACAGCACCAGTCTCAGACAGAAGGAGACTGATCTCTCTTATATTCTTATTTTCTTGCCTAGAATACTACCCATGGAATGAGCAATTTCCTATGAAAGGTCATTTTCGTTCCTGATATAACACCCCAGAGAAAGTGTTTATTACCGTGGATCCACTATGTCATAACACTTTATAATAAGTATTTGGTACCGCGGACTCCGAAGCGGAGAGTTTGGTAAACGTTAAGCAATATTTCCATTTTGATATTTCTATGAAATAACTTGCAATTAACAATGAAAATAGCAAAATGTCATACGAAGCCCTGTTGACAAGAAACTCAAAAGGAATAAACTCAATGAAAACAATTTGAGAGATTAATGAGCAAAATCACACATGGGGATTCCCCCTCCCCCCGCGTTTTGGGAGTGCTAGGGTTCATACATTTACTTTATGTCAGTATAGTAAATGATTCGTTAGAGCGTTGTTTAAACAAACGGTAAAACCTCATCCATATGTCGGCGTCTGCTGCGGCCCAAGACATGCATTTTATGTCTGAAAGCTCTGGTACTTTGCAGCCCTTTATGTTCTTCTAAAACGGTCGCGATTTTGATAATGAAAAAAGAACTGGAAATTGTTCTTAACCTTTTCTGAAGCCTTAACGAACCTCCCCAATCAAGAGGTGCTAAATCCAACGCGGCAAGTATAAATCCTTCCAATTTCACTCTTTTTTTTAGAAAAGATATCATATAAACAAAAGACGGATCCAGTAACATCCTTCAACTTTTAAATTATTCCCAATCAATATCATTCAATATAGTGCAGAGAAAGCACTGATATGAACTAGTTATCAGTAGTATTTGCGAATCTTAGTTACTACTGTGTGCATACCAGATACATATCAATTATCCGAATGATTAGAAGATTAAATGATTATTAACAGACATTTTTGTACATAGGATCACTTTTTGTTTCCTATAATCAAGAGTCATTTTCAACTATGTCTTATAACTCACAGTGCAGAGAAGAAAGTCTGTTATTGTGTTGGCAAATATTTTCTTAATAAAAAGATAAATGTTCAATGGCAGGGTCGTCGCACTGAAATATTTTTAAAGAATCAGTTATGCAAAGAAATTAGCAAACATTTTACAAAAATTACCAAGAAATTAAATATACCTCTACACATATCAGATAATAAAAGTTATAATATTCATGCATATGGAGTTATGAATAATATATCTTAATGAAAATAATATACAAATGACTGACAAACATTGTATTCCGTTAATTCGACAGACCTAATGATTACATAGACATAAAAGGAGGAAAATCAAAGGAGAAAAATCAAAGCACAAACGAAATTATTTTTATCTTCGTTTATGACAAGCCCACTCGCTAATTTCTCACTCACACGCAAGGCTTGGCACATATGTAATTCTCGAATCAGAAAGAAGTACAATAGTTAATTTTAAATATTTATTTACAACTGTGAGTGGCCATATCGGTTAATGAAAATTCAATTCCCATCTGTGACACTTGTTCGTATGTTTGCGGATCTCGTATTTCCCACAGCTGTATAAACGACGTTGGCGCGGTTTCGCTCATCATTTAGATTTCTTTGTGGTCATTTATTAAACTTAAATAAGATGGATTTTTAAAACAAAGTGTGCGAAGTACAAAATCTCTATAGAACCCGAACATTCAAAAAGAGTTACATTATATCAACGTTTTTCCTACGAATATACAAGTAGCACAAACAAATTAATTCCAAACGATGAAATAAAGCCTTTAAAAGCTTTGTGAAAAATCACAAATCAAATAATTTACAGAGTTATTTTATCAGAAATCTTGTCTACTAATAACTGAAAATAACAGGTCTGTACTTTGTACTAACTGTTTTGCGGAAGTGTCAACTTTCCCACGGTAGTGAATGACTGAGTAGGTCATTCATTTACTGGGAGGTTCTTTCGTGGTATACTGAGACTCCTTAACTTTCTTAAGTTCTTAAGACGAACCCATAAAAGGGATATACGAGAAGCAAATAATCTGTACTGGTCCGAAACGCTCAGAAAGACAGTCGACAACATTCCGAACAAATTGCATCTTGCCAGAAAATGTGCCATCAATTCAATAAGACAGTTGTAACGTTGTAAATGAATACACATTATTATATTGGTCAAAAACGGCTTGTCATATAAATACACGCTGATTTCAGCACTGAACTTATAAATTAGAAAGTGAAAAGATATTTAATTTTTTAAAATTTTTTATGGGAGAGTTTATGTTGTATACACACAACAGTGCTTATAAGTTCATTTCACTAGTTGTTTAAAACTTACCAAGACGTTTACGAGTCGCGTAGCAACGAGCGGACTTCTCTGAAAAGTTTCAAATTCAGAGTGGAATTCCTTAGACTATTTCACGAATTAAAAGTCTTAAGTCGATTAAATAGTATAAAAAAATGTTAAAAATAGAGAAAAAATATTTCTTCTTAGATGGTTTTAGGAGCTACATTGATTATTGCCGTTTACGTCAAGGACAGAATAATTATTTATTTTTCAACACGCCGTACGCAAAACGCGGTTTCTCGGTTGTTGTTTTTTTTCGTGTGTGAAACAGCTAATATTTTCACAGTGTGAGAAACATCGCGAAGCGTGTGCGAAACCTCTGTGCGTAACGATTTGGAATTGTCTTTCGTCTTGACGACGTTTTTGTTTATTAATTACACATAATAGTGTTACGACTCTGACTGAACACCATTTACTTTTGTACAAGAAAGGTATTTCTAGTTATTTGATTTTTTGTTTATATTCCTTTAGTTGATGCATTGCGCTTCGCTCACGGCGTGTTAAAAATTACTTTCAGTAAACACAACACGGGTGCAAGGTGATTCACGCACCCGTCTCTTTGTCGTCCTCGTTACGTTCGGACGACAAACTCGACACGTGCGAATCACCTGTTTCGCGTCCTTGTTACATAAACTACTATTCCAAAACAGTCGCACATTAGTCAAAGGCGGCGGTAAGACGATAGCGAAAAGTACAGATTTCGATTTTAGGCGCCTCTGATTTCTTTATAGCCATCTTATTATTGGCCCCATTGAAACTAACAACTCATGAGTGGAACAGCCATTAATATATCATTTACTCGTATGTTCCTCCATGATTTTCTAATACCTCTTTATTAGTGAGAGGAACAGTAAAGAGGAAGGCACTCCAAGCCAAGAATCTCTAAAGGCCCGATTCGTTCCGAAAGGCGGCCGAGAACTTCCCGAACAAACCCCGTCCCCTCGGAAAATGTGCCATCGGCTCAATAAGCCAATTGCAGCCGCAGGGCGCCCTCACGGGCCACACCTGCGTTTGACCTTTGCGTCGTGAGGCCTCGCCGCGACCTCGGCGTCTCATTCAACACGGCGAAGAATTCCTCCGCCGCCACCGTCTGCAGCGTCAGGAGGCGTGGGCGGGGCCGTCACTCCGCCGTCCCATCTCTCATCCGCCGTTATTTTTCTCGCCGCCTGTGCGTGTGTCTCTCTCCCTGTGTTGACGACTTTACGATTCGGCATACATAATGCGTTGCCGGCGCGATGGTCCTTTCCCGAGAGAATGAGACGCGGGAGCGTGGG